CCTGGGGAGAACCCTGAATGATAATTATATACTTATATGATATCTATGGTACTCAACTACTGATGTATCCTGAGTTGTACGAAGGGGGCACTGCATGCAGTTTGCACCCATGAGTGCGTAAATCATGTGCGTAAGCAGCATCACGAGGTGTCGAGTTGTAGAAGGCATGTCATGACATGAGCCTGAAATACGCAAAATTTCAAATAGCAAAAAGGCAAAACAAGGTCCGACTCCAAGTACAGTTTCATCGTGGATCAAACACATTTTTTGTATTTATTTATTATAGTTTTATTTAACGCCGCGGGTGTTACCCAGAGCCACAGGCACTTCCGGCCAACAAATGAGTTGATTCAAGAGGGTACCAGGGACAGGGCTCTCAAGGACAAGGGGTAGCTTTAAAGGATTGACCCTAATTTTGTATGGTCTGATGCTATTTTACTTTCTAGAATACTATAGCATCAGATTATAAAAATTTCTTACACATTGGTGTATGCAAGCTGTTACAGTGTTCATGTGCATCAGTCACCAGCAGTACTAGTCCCAATGGAACCTTTAGCAAAGCGGAAGTGTGTGGATCCAAGTTTGGAAGATGCAAGTTTAGCAAGTGCAGACCATCCGCTTGGTGATATGGCACTGGCGGACAACCGGGCAAGTGCTGCTGTCATGGTTGATGAAGCCATAACATGTGCACACCCATACACGACAACGACGAATGAATCGTCACCTTTATCTGCAGACATCGATGACAACACAATTATTTGTGACAAAAATCTCAAAGCGACATTGCAAGACGACACACTTGCCCCAACGTCTCCTTTGAATCCCGATCACATCAAGGTTGAGCAAAAATCCATAGAATGCGTGCAAGAGCCTGTTTTACAAACAGTAATCACAGGAGCTGATCAGTCTGTTGGGGCACCACCTGCAGGTTTAAGTAACACACACGTCAACATCGAAATCAGCAAGAGTACCTCTCTGGTACAATCCACAAGGCCCCTACCAGATGACAATGGTAGTGGTGGCCAACTCAGCGTGCAGATAGAGAGGATTCCAGTGAAATCCCTTCCCGACATCGAAGTCAGTGAGGGTACCTCTGTGGTACAATCCACAAGGCCTCTACCAGATGACAATGGTAGTGGTGGCCAGCTCAGAGTGCAGATAGAGAGGAGTCCAGTGAAATCCCTTCCAAAACCAATAGGGAAGAAGTATGGAAAGAGCATTGCTTGTTTCCTTGACAACCTGCGCAGTGTCGATAGGGCGGAGTCTAGCGATGACTCGGAAGATGAGGTCAGGTCAGATGCGTCGGACAAAGAGCTGTCTGTGAGCGAAACACAAGAACGTGTGTGTGGGGATCTTATGAAGGAGGAGGGCGACGACTTGTCTCACACAGAACACAGGTAAATCATTATTGTGGGGCTCAATCACATGTGTTTGAAATTGTGCTGGAATATTATGAGTGATTACAAATGGAAGATCAGGTACCAATAGGTGTTCCTTAGTAAACTGATGACATGCTAACTGGTTTTCCAATGGTACCAAATTCCTAATTGGTACTCTGCCTCGTGGGTACTTAATGTGTGTGGCAAGTGTTTTATTTCACTCTAGGTGTCAGCACATGTATACATATTTCAGTATTTCAAATTGACGTTATTACTATTTTGTTTTCAGCAAGCCCATCAGAGTTCTGGAATTTACATGTGAACCCCACCAGGTGGCAGGTGCATGGCAAGAATTTTCATCGACGAAGACAAATAACTATCTCAAGGGTTGCAAGTGGTAATCATGGGCCGTTCAATATAGTAGCTGTACTACTACCACTATACTATCGAAGTTATACAGAACTATGAATGTAGAGGATGGCTGCTGAATCATAATCCCTAGCTGCAGCTCATCATCACATAGTGACAAAGAGCGGTAGTGTTCATGAGTTTTCCTATTTTCCAGGGCACCTGATGGGAGTTGCATTCTGACGAACAGCGAAGATCATGTCCTGCGATTGTTCAACCTTCCAGAGCAGCTCATGATGGGCTCGCCACCAAGCGAGGACATCCCAGAGATGGTATCGATATGTAGTTATGAGCAATGAAACTCAACCTGTTGGTTAAGTACGGATCGAAACACCAAGCCCAGTATACAATTGCATGTAATTGTGCACTAACAGTAGATACATGTTCATGGATTGTTTATGATATATTAACTTAATGATGATCCATTATCACAGTTGTGCATGCACTCATGTTGAGATTGTAACCACACTTCTTTTTTCAGCACTCGGCATTATTTGTGAAGGAGACAGACTTGGTCTATGATTACTGCTGGTATCCCATGATGCACTCCATGGATCCAGCCAGCTGCTGGTGAGTTGAACTCATGGGTTTCTGCATGCAATGACAGCTGTATAGATTGTAGATGTGGGTACGGTGTCGATCTTAGTTAGAACTTGCTTTGGTAGAAGAGCAGTTTTGACGCAAAATTACTGGTGGTCTGCTTGAATGGATGTTTAAAGTTATCATTGGTTAATATTACAGCGTTTTGGATAGTGGTGCATTATTCTTTCTCATGTAAGTGTGTAAAGAATCGAGCCTTTGATATCCTTGCCACCAGTTTTGCGACCAGTTGCCGTGACAACCCAATTCACATGTGGGATGCGTTCAGCGGTGGGCTCCGATGCACTTACAGGGCATACGATCATGTAGTAAGTATGGGTGTGTGTGTGTGCATCAGCCCTGAGGACAACAATAATAACAGTCACAGCAGCAGTAACAACAACAACAACAACAACAACAACAACAACAACAACAACAACAACAATAGCAATAAGAACAATAGCAACAATAACAAATGCAAGATAGCAGCAAATTCGTAGTTGGATAAGCATTCGGTGAAATGCTACGAATGCACGGTGAAAGGACGATTTTTCAATAGTAGTTTTTTCATCTCACAGGATGAGATAGCTCCAGCTTACAGCCTCGCATTCACCCTCGATGGCAGCCACCTGTACAGCGGATTCAACAAGATGGTCAGATGTTTCGACGTGACGCGACCAGGGCGAGACTGCGAGAAGATTCCTACACACAGTGAGCGGTCATGTTACCCTCCCTGTCGCATCTTTCTTACCTACCTATTGCACGTTACCCTATGTTCCTATGCACAGGCAAGTTTGGATTTGGATCATCAGGGAACGTGCATGGATGTAACCAACCGTGGAATGTTACTACATGTTTGCAACATCTGTTTCATATCAGCATTGCAGCTATAATGCCGACCATGCAATCATCATAGGTGTGCGGCATCAGAATTACTGTGTGAGGAGTTAAGGATACTCTCCTTAGGCAAAGGTTTTAGGCAAAATTTTACCGATTTTTCATTTTCAATTTTATTCAATGGCTAACACTATGTGCCAGCTTCGTACATACTCATTTCTTCATATAACGGTACATGTGAAATGTCAGAGCGATTTGATTGCCCGCGCACATGTGTAGTAAGCAGCGGCTGACGTCATGATGACGTCAGAGACATGATACAACCACGATATTCAATAAGCTAGTATCATTCAGCGTCAACCCTGCTACAGCTGTCATTATGTCGTTATGTCATTATGTCGTTATTACATGTATTCATGTACATTCATGTACATCTGCTAGTGATCCAACAAGTATCCCATGCCCAAAATAGTTCTAACACCTCGCAACACACCTTAAGGCCAAGACACACTGCAGCGACAGCGACCGACCGTAACGACAAACGACAAAGTCGCGGCGACTGGCGCAGCCACACTGCAGCGACAACGACCGACCGTAACGACAAACGACAAAGTCGCGGCGACTGGCGCAGCCACACTGCAGCGACAACGACCGACCGTAACGACAAAGTTCACCCAGCACTCACCACAGTGCCACTCATAAGCAAACGGCAAAAAACTCCTGCTGCTGCTTTTAAATAAATTGCTGTAAATACGCTCTATGTATAACGAGAATATAATAAAGTAATATATACGCAGTATATTATACGAACGTAAACAATAATCATGTCTGATGGCTGACCGTAGCCTTGCACGTTTTGGTTAGATGGGTTCGCGGCCCCACTGTTTCACGCCGGTCGTCGTCGCGTCAGTGTGCAATGGCTCATAGGAAACAATAGTTTCTAATTTTCTGAAAAGTCGTTTGTCGTTACGGTCGGTCGTTGTCACTGCAGTGTGGCTTGGCCTTTACTGTAGTGCTGTACAAGGCGCGCGTTTGTTGACATATTAGCTTTGTGACGTCAGGATGAGCGGAGTTTGCGCGTTCTGCGATGGTAACCTCAGAATTTCTCAAAATTTCTCAAGGTGCATGGAACATTTTACCAATTTAGTGGTGTCAGTTAGTCATGGATATGTCGCAGTAAGTATTAACAGTATATATTTCACATACGTTCACCCATTTTTCACACAGGCGGTCACTCATTGTGAAAAATAGAAAAACGATCATTTCTCCGTTTCGATTTCTGACATAGTAGCCAATGTATAATGGATATTTCTCTGTGATTACAACTCGGATTAATTTAATTTTACACTTGTAACATATTGTTGTAAAGAAGTGCGTCAGGGATTGTTATTAAGTGCCTTGTATACTTATGTATTATATACAGTATATGTATATATTTGTATCCTCACTCTTTCTGGTAGTTGAGAAATGTCCAAAATACCATTTTTACATAAAAATTCAAAATTTGTGTGGTAACATAATTAGGTGCTGGAAATTTCATGAAATTTTTTGGCTTGAGCATAGAGATATATCTCCTCTATAAATAAAACAAGTGATTGATTCGATTCAGTCGCCAATAAACGTTTATTCTTCACTAGAGCAATACCCGTGCAAAAGGTGGAGAGTATTCTTAACATATGAGACAGGTGCAATGCATGCATGGAAACAGCTCACTGACTCTCTGCAATTCCACGAGTGGTTTCTCGCACTTGCAAATTTGCCTGTGCATAGAACATTGTCCAGTTAAGGAGGTGAAAACTGCCTGCAGTATTCTCTGCAGGAGTAGAATGTAGTTAGTACCTAACATGAGCATGATTTAGCCTCATTGCTATGCATAGCTGGATGCATAGTTTACAGCTAGCAGTTGTGTTGTAAAACCATCTGTGAGATCATATACTTGAACTCATTATCTCGTCAGGTAAGAAAACGCCTGGTCAGCCCGGCATCATCTCGTGTCTCGCGATGAGCCCACTAGGGGGCGTCTTTGCTGCGGGATCCTACTCAAAGACAGTAGCTCTGTACAGCCTCGATGGCCGTTCACTGATAAGCTGCGTACAGCGCCATCTGGGGGGAGTCACGCACATGGTGTTCTCACCCGATGGCAACAGGCTCTACTCGGGAGGCAGGAATGTGAGTTATCTGTACATCCGCCAGCTTTGATCCATCCCTAAGTCGCATGTCAGCCATATTTGATCGAGCCCACGCTCGTGTGTCTGCCGTGAATCACAACACCCTACATCCTCGCGGTAATGTTACTCTAACACTGCCATGAAAACTTGTTAGTAATTATTAATGATCAATTAAAGCAATGAAAAGATCATCACTATTAGGTTTATATAGTGCTCTTATGATTAGTGTTGGCTGAACACAGTGAAAGCAATGGAAGACAACTTGATGCTTACCCTCCTTCCCCCTTGTTTGGTACCGGCGCACTATCCTCCATCTCTTTTCCCTTGCTCACTCCTGCATGCAAGACCAGTACATCATCTCTCCCTCCCCTCCTCCTGCTAGCTCAATCATGCCATCCAACTTCCCACCCTCGCGTGTGTCGGTGTCATAATTCTGACACGCTTATATGCGTAGGATCCAGAAATACTGTGCTGGGACGTGCGCAGCCCTGAGCAGGTTCTGTTCTCCGTGCAGCGCAAGGTTAGGACCAATCAGCGCTTCTACTTCGACCTAGATGCGTAAGTCCACTTAACCTCTCTTCTACTCATGTTGTTACTGCTCCCACACCCGCATGAAACATTTTCTCACTCCGTGTCTCTCTCTCCACCAATATGAAAAGTTTACTCGGACTATGTATGCTTTCCCACCTTTAATAAACATTTTGACACTCTCAAAGTGTCTCTTTCTCCGCCAATATAAAGAGTCAACTTATTTTAGGCCTGCCTTCCCACCCATATGAAACATCTCACTTTATGTCTGCCTCCCCGCATGTAACACATCTACTCACTTGGTGTGTCTCTCCCTTGCCGTTGTGCCCCCGCCAAGTGTCTACTCAGTTGGTACTCTCTTCATTCATATAGAGTCTAATCTCTCACTCCCCACCTATATAAAACGTCTACTCACTGTCTCCTTTTGCACCCATATGAAAAGTCTAGTTTGTCTTTCTCCCCACCTATATAAACAATACTCGTTAATATATATTATCATCATATTATACTCACTATAATATAACGTAACACAACTGGTCTACTTAACAATCTCCTGAGGTGTTGACATAGCGGCTCTGAGTGCAAATTTATGTGTTAACCACGATAGCACGTGCTGACGTGCTGCCACCTGTTGTATTAATTTGTGTTTTGCGGCACACAGCTCGGGGCGCTACCTAGTGTCTGGCTGCCAGCAGACGGCCTGCGTGTGGGACACTCACCAGGTGTCGCCACTTCTGTACCGAGCTCGCAGCGAGGGCGAGATGCTCTCACCGACGGTGGTGTTCAAGGCACATGGGGACTCCGTTAATGGAATCAGGTACATCCGAGTATTTACTGATTTAGCTGATCGGTCGGGAAAATCCGTGCATACGAGTATAATCTGTAATGTCAATTAATCATTGTTATTATATGATACGATATTGAGTGGCAGGGAGCCTCATACAGAATCAGATAACATAACGTCATTAAATAAAATGATAACATAATTTCGTTAATTTCATATAGAATAATATCAAGAGTAGATAATAACACTAGAGTGAGACACCCGATTCTCGCCTTTTTAACCGATTTTTCTCATCAAAATTTGCCACCAATAAAGAAGCGATCCCGCATTTTTAACCGATTTTTCTCATCAAAATTTGCCACCAATAAAGAAGCAAGTGTATACGTTCCTCAGCTTATTATGACCACTAATCACTCACCTTCGTGGTACTGATATTCGTTTACATATATTTGCTAGCGTATTGCTGTAAATCGTAATCTTGCACGAGCTGAATTCGCACGATTTACCGCTATTCTGTTAGGTGTTAAGACAACTTGCGAAGCTGTAGTGGCGCCAATATTTAGCAACGGACGGTTTCCAAATCATTCGTGCCCCGATAGGGGTTTAATGTACTTGATTACCTGCGCGTGCGTAATGTGATACTTACTGCAAACTACTACAGAGAATATTGTTATTATTGTATTATTACTTATGGAAGATAGTATGTCAATTTCTTGTGTTGCGATCACAATAACTGAGCGCGTCTCGCGGTTCCTCACAAGATCAAAATTTGTAATTTAGATTGTCTCTCAACCCTATCGGGGCACGAATGATTTGGAAACCGTCCGTTGCTAAATATTGGCGCCACTATAGCTTCAGAAATTGTCTTGACAGGTCACAACAATAGCGCCATTTTAGCGGTAAATTGATCGAATTCAGCTCGTGCAAGATTACGATTTACAGCAATACGCTAGCAAATATATGTAAACGAATATCAGTACCATGAAGGTGAGTGATTAGTGGTCATAATAAGCTGAGGAACGTATACACTTGCTTCTTTATTGGTGGCAAATTTTGATGAGAAAAATCGGTTGAAAATGCGGGAATCGGGTGTCTCACTCTTGTGTTATTATCTACTCTTGACGTAATGTATTGCCGCCGCCTTTCATCCTGACTTTACAATGAGGTTCTATCATCTCATTATATATAACCATTCATATGATGATCTAATCGCTATACTTCTCTCGAAGAGACTTCTTCGAGGAGAGTGTAAGTCTCTCTCTCTCTCTCTCTCTCTCTCTCTCTCTCTCTCTCTCTCCCCCTCTCACTCTCACTCTCCCTCTCA